AAAAAAAAAGTTTCCGTACGTCATGCGGACTGCGCCCCTCGTGTCGGTTGGGCGGGAATGGAGGGTAAAAAGCCGTTGGGATTAATTAATTAAAAAATAAATGAATACAACATTTTACGCGTTTAAAGCAAAGCAAAACTCCATAGGAATAAGAAGGATTCGATCTGTATTAAAAAGTTTCGTATAGCAAAATTTTCCTTTCATTGAATATGAACGAGAAAAAAATAAAACAAGTGCCTTAATCCTTTTCGAAACGATGCATCTTTAATATTTTTTGCTTCCTATATTAAAATATGAGTTTTCATAAAAGTGGATTTAGCAACTTTTCACACTAAGCTAACGATATAATTTTAATGAAGGAACAAACAACATTGTTCTAAAAATGCCGATAAATGTTGTTATTAAGAAAACACATTTTTTTATATTAAAAAAGCATTAAGCTCTTGAATGTCAATGTAAAACAGCACCGATTTTTTTGAGTAAAAGGGACAGATATAAAATGCTTAAAATATTAGATACGCTACAAGTAAGTTTTCTTTCAAGAAAGTTACAACTAAAAATTTCCTTCAAGAAAAAATTTTTAGGTTTTTTGTTTTATCACTCTGAAATATGTTTTGAGGATTTGAGTCTGAATTGGGCGCACTATTGTCAGTTTTTCAGTGCACGGCCGTGGATTAAACTAAGTTTAAACGCCCGTTTTGGCAGGTTTAAACTAAGATTAGCCAATCAAATGTCAACCATCTGTTCAACTTAAATTCAGGTTACTTAATCTCGGCCGCTGTGGTGTAGTGGTAAGCAGTGCGCGCTTCCACTCAGCAGCACCTGGGTTCAAGCCCTGGTCAAAGCAACATCGCAAAAAATATATAGAAAAAAGGTTTTTTTTTTTTGACAGCGGTCGCCGTTCGAAGTCGGCGTAAAACTGTAGGTCCCTTCGCTTTGTGTGACAACATCAAGGCGAACACCACAAAATCGGAGGAGAAGCTCGGCCAAACACTTACCTATGTGTAAGCGCCAATATATTACTATTTATTATTATTACTGAATCTAGATTTAAACTGGCACTGAAAAACGGGCCCTAAGACTACTAAATAAAAATGTGTAGTATGTATTTTAAAGTGTACTTAATCAAAAGTTTCTATTGTATATTCATGAATTCATATTATATTTTGAGTCCCAAAGTAGTGGTTTCGGTACAGTATTTTTTTGTCTATTTTGAACTAGTATGAGACTGGTACATTTCTGACCGAAATCTGACAATTTTCATCTCGTAGGACATCCCCATGTTAAAAATACCAGTTAATTACATGGAAAAAAGATAGTTGGCTTACTAGTTGGGCATGCGGTTAATACTAGTTGTGAGGTAGTTTACGACTGGTACATTTGACTACAAGGTAATAATAAAAACACTTACTTTGTGGTTAGATTCAGGGAAAAAGTTGATACCCTTTGGAACCAAAAGTGCCATATGGCATGCAGCTACTGTTCGAACGGTTTGTATAAAAGTTTTCCAGCTTTGTTTGCCTTCTTGTCGCCAACTGTAGGGCCAACCAATTATAACAGTATTTGGTTTCATACCTCCGAGGCCTATGGTCTGAATTCTAAAAATATGTCATCATATTAAAAGTTTCTTTATACTTTCATATGTATGTATGGATGTACACATAGAACATAGTTAGATAAACTTACACTGAACTTAATCCTTCGCCTATATCTCGAGATACCAATACATCACAGAAGCCTTTAACTTTCTCGTCGTCCATTAATTTTCTCAATGATGCCTTAGCGTCAACCGCTCTGTTCAAAATTTTATGATGATCGCCTTGAATAACGGATACGCATATTGTTAAACCCTTTCCGGCTTTAAGTTGAGTGGCAAACGAAAATATTTTCCTATATTTTGGCATGAAGTTGTCGTTAAACTTTGATAGGACTAATATTTGTGGACGCCAATTTTTGGTATGTGGGGGACCCTCTTCCAAGCGTAAAAGTGAGTATCTAGCAGCTGTCAACGCCATTCCTCTGATTCCATCTCCCCACTCTTTTTCAGCCCTAGAGACACCGAAAATCAAAGTGTTTGGAATTTGTCACATCATGATATATGTATATATGTAAGTATATAGTATGTGGATAATATGTGTATATTAGGGATGTTAAATTTTCGGCTTTTTCCGATCCCGGGATTTTCGGCATGGCGTTGTCACAATCCCGGGATCCCGGGATTTAGATATTATTACCTTTCAACAACTTGAATCGAAGCAGGTAAGAAAGTCTAAGGTAGGGCGGAGCCGAACATTAAATACCCGGCGCAAGTATTAAATATATGTTTTTCACCTTTCCGAAAGCTACCGCTACATGGTAAGCCGGGGTGTATGAATTTTGAGTAAATTAGCGTCCTTAAATTTCGAAATATTAAAGTTTCGAGCATTTCTGAAATTTACCGTTATATGAAAAGCGGCCGTTATTTTAGTCCGATTTCAATAATTTTCAACGTTTTGCTTTTATTTCTCAAGCACAATAACCGTACCGTTTGGTACAAATTGGTAGAACGGTTACCTAGATATATATGTGTGATCATAAGTGGGCGGTGTCACGCCCATTTTCCAAAATTTTATCATAAACGTATGTCTTGGTAAAGAATTATTGCAAGCATAAATTTTGAATGAATTAGCTTTTGTATTTACTGATTTATCGAAGATTTCGTATTTCTCTAAATTACCGTTATATGGGATGTGGGCGTGGTTATTGTTCGATTTTAAAAATTTTCAGCCATTTGGTATGATGTTCCAAGGCCAATAACTGGGCCAAGTTTGGGAGAAATTAGTGGTTACCAAGATATACACATGTAATCGTAAGTGGGCGTGGTTACGCCCATTTTCCAAAAATATATAATATTCTTATTTTTCGTCTAAATATTATTGTAAATATCAATTTTGAGTGAATAGGCTTGAGTAGTTACGAAAATATGGCAGTTTTCGTATTTCTGAAAACTACCGTTATATGGGGGGTAGGCGTGGTTATTGTCCGATTTTGCTCATNTTCTTATTTTTCGTCTAAATATTATTGTAAATATCAATTTTGAGTGAATAGGCTTGAGTAGTTACGAAAATATGGCAGTTTTCGTATTTCTGAAAACTACCGTTATATGGGGGGTAGGCGTGGTTATTGTCCGATTTTGCTCATTTTTCAATACCATCCGTCTTACGCCCGAAAGAAGTACACGTACCAAGTTTCGTTAAGATATCTCTATTTTTAACCAAGTTATCGTGTGCACAGATGGACGGACAGACGAACGAACGGACAGACTGTCACCGCTTAATCGATTTCTGTTTTCATTCTGATCATTTATGTGTACATTTGTCTATATCTATCTCGATTCGTTTTGCCTGTTACAAACAACCGTTATGTGAACAAAGTTATAATACCCTTGTGCACAAGTGCGCTCGGGTATAAAAATGGTTCACTATTTTGAAATTAAGAAAAAACCGGATAAACCGGGTTTATTTTACACAGTTTTCATACAGTGAAAGCGTTTATGTTTGTATGAATTCATGACCAAAAATTACAATAAAACTTGTAACATTAAATATAGCTTTTATTTAGAAAACAGAAAAATAAGTTCGAACTTTTACTTTAGATCAAAAGTAAGACAAATAAAAAGCGCTAAAAATTCACGTTTTTTTCTTATTTTAACCATTTTTAATACTTTATTGAATATTTTCTGACTTTCTTCGAATTTGAGTAGTGCTTTTGCTGCCATAGCCGAGTGCTGTAGATTTATAGTAAGAGTGTAGATCGCTCCATCAAAGCTTTAATTGAGAGGTCAAGAATTGTTTGAAGTGGAAAAAATAGTTTATTCGATATTCGAAAAATCAAGATTTTAAAAATCCCGCCTATAGATATGCAAACAAACCGGTGGAAACCGATTTGCAAAACGGAGGCAATCACCCTAATACGTATGTATACAGGGTATGTATTTGCATAGTTATATATTTATGTATATGCTAAAACTTACCCACGATATTCGATATATTTGTAAATCACAATGGCCATTCCCATCGCAATTAAAGCAAAGTACCATGAAGTCATAAACATTATTGATATACACAAAGTTAATCCAACTAAAGACAATCCCCAATGATAGAACTTAAATCGTGGCCTCCAGTTAGGTGTTCTCAACAGTGTCTGTACAGCACATGCAAGATTCACGAATCCATAACACATGAGGAAGAACATGGATAATAAGGGTGCCAACAGATCAACATTGCCTAGTAGAAGAAATAGTTTAGGTATTTAAAATATTTATTGTACGATTAATCACACGTATGTACATTATTCATGCAAAAGCATTTGTTTGCATGCATGCACTTGATCATAAATTTCATTTACTTCAAATCCGACATGCGATCTGCACTTTCTCCCTTATATTTATTTATTTTTTTCTGAAACGAGTTCCCAGTAAGTTTGAGTGTTTTCAAAAACGAGAATAGCTAAATGAAATTCACTTGCTTTTGACTCATTTTCATATTCAATTTCTCACTGCATGCATATGAGCAAATCCCTTGAGTTGTTTTTTTTTTTAGTCTCACTCCCTTCTCTCGGCTAAAGCATTCAGCTTGCATTTATTTCAATCAATGGGGTTCCAGAAAAAAGTACAATAAAAAATATACCAAGTATTTGAACAATTTTACTCTTAAAACGTTTATTTATGCGAAAAAGTAGCGAAATTACTCATTTTTTCATTGTTTTGAAATTTAACGATTTTGTTTTTCCAATTTTAATAAGTTAAGTTACTTCAAAATGTTAAAATTAAAGGAAGAAAGTGTTCTTCTTTCCAACACGAACGAATCTAGTGTTATAAGACTAGTATCTCACCAAATGAAAAATATTACATTGCGTTTTATTGGTGCACTCGAAATTCAATCTAAAATTGTCATATACACGAAAAGATAAGTATACATATATATGCATAAGAAAAGCTGTGTAAAAAACTTAAACGCCAATATTTAATCTATTTTAAATAATATGACTTTTAAGTTAAGGCGTGCGAGTAAACTTGTTAGATGACTTCGTATGCTGCTACGGGGCGTATACGTTATATACGCAAATACGGGTATATGTATGAGCGTGAGTGGGGTTATTTTTACTTGTTTAGTATATCTGTTTTAAGTTTTCATTTATACACAATTTCGCGATGGGATTTGCTCATATACCATTTACATGCCCAAGTATTTACCATGGATTACCTACTACATAATACGTACCCAATAGAATTCCGCCCTGGCATATAACAATCGTGAGAAGTAAAGCTCTTGTAGGTTCACCACGTTTCGAAGATACCGCAAATGGGGATAAAAATGGAATAATTTCGTCTTTTGCTATGGCCTGCAGTAAGCGTGGTGCACCAGTCAAGCTTTGTAGCCCAGCACCAAGTGTTGATAAAAATGAGCCGACAAGTATAACCCATTGGTTTGGCCATGCAATGTTTGCCACTACTAGCTTTCCACCGATGGATTGGCCAAATCTTCAAATAAACGGTTTATCAATAAATATATACATATACATATATTTTAATTGAAAAACTTTTTTACTACACACTTGTCACGTAAGAGAAGATTATCGACTGTTCCCGCAAATAACAAAACACTAGATAAATACACGGTGCTCGTTGTTAGAATTGCACAAATAGTTCCAATCGGAATACTTTTTTGAGCGTCAGCTAAATCACCAGACCTATTTGATCCCGCCATTATTCCTATGTATATATGCAGTTATAATTAGTTACAGAGTATTAATCTGCACACTTGCATCAGATTTTTACCTGTTACTGACGGGAAGAATATTCCTATTAGCAATGTGAAAGACGTTGTAATATCAGCTACGACTTGATTATATGTAGATGGCGCCAAATTTTCAATATCCACCGTATTTTTCCCATAAGCAATTAATTGGCCTTTCTAAAAAAAATAAATAAATAAAATATTTATAATCTTGTCGGCTTTTGATGTATTTACCAATAATAATAGATTGTTGGCATTAATAAACTAAACTTACTTCTAAAAACGATGGTAAAACATTCTCATAGAATACTCCACTGGCAAGACCCTTGATACCTTTTACTTTTGTAACGTTATTATCTGAGATATAAAAAATTTAGATAATATTCATAGACAGCGCCAAAAGTTTAAGAGTTTAACGCACTTTTATAATATTCATCGCATCCGTTTTCATCACAAAACATGTCCGACAAGAACGTATCACTTTTAGTACAATTATCAATGGGAATGTCTTTGAGCAAACGCTTTCCAAGAACGCACAGGCTGAAAAGAAAGAAAAACAAGCCATTGAAATCGTATGCTTCCTATTTAATTGAAGTGTATTAGGGCCTTACTAAAGTTTTTCACTCCCATTAATATTGTCGAATATTCCAACGTAAACAGCAATTATAGAGAATATTACACACGCCAAGGCGACTGCGGCAAATTTATTTACGAACTTTACACCCAAAAACACGATTAATCCTAGTCACACAAATTTGGAGTCACTAGCATTATTTTTTTTTTTGTAATAGTACACAAATTGATTCTATATTCACCCATAATCAATAGGAGCAATGTGCCGTATACTCTAAAGTTATTATACATTGCATCCGCATCTTTGGTGAAATCGCCAAATATTGAGGCCCATGGAGCCATGTATGTCTGTGAAATTAGATTACTTGTTTATTTTTGGGATTAAAAAAAGCATTTGCCAAAACAAAAATAAGTATTAATTACCAATACAATCTCCACAGCGCCCACAATGTACATAGCAGCAGCCAGTGTCGTTCCTGTATAAAACAACATTCCCACCGCTCCTCCAAATTCTGGTCCTAGCGATCTAATACGATAATAAATTCATAATGAAGCATTCGCATATTTATTTAACCCAAGCACAAATAACTTTGGCTAAACGCAAATTAAATTAATTTAAACGCAAATCGAATTTGACCAAAGGCAAAAGAACAAAATTTTGTAGATCTTGGCGTTGTTCAGATTAAAAATGCTTCGTGGTATGATTATCCTTGAAACTTTTCAAAAAGTTCATTGAAGCTGCATGCGGAATTTACCAAATTGTCAAATGCCGAACCTTCGCTTCTTATTTCGAGAAAAATTGCTTTTGGTTTAAACTGACTTGCACTTGGGTTAAATAAATGAGGGAAAGCTATACAAAACTTTGGCAGTGGTGACAAACGATATGCTTTGTGTATAAAATTGCGAAATACTAATATAAAGTACGATGTTTTACCGCTGTAGCCGAGTGGTTAGAGCTGCGTACTACCACTCCATAGAACCTGAAAAGAAAAGGCTTTTTCTAACAGCGGACGCCACTTGGCAGACAATGGAAAACCACCAAGTGTACATATTTCTGCCTTGAAAAAGCTTCTTATAAAATAATTGGAGGAGAACCTCGGGCTTAGCAAGAGTGTAAGCGCCAAATATTTATTCATTTTGGCTGCATTTCTTTATTCATTCTAAACGTTTGGAATAAACTTTTATGTTTACTTAATCTTTAGAACATTCCTGATGGTATGTTAACGTATATTTTAAACGCATTCTGTTTATTTCGGCTATGAAATTGGATTGTCCGGAATGTATAAAGAAACGCAGCCTTTATGTTACCATTTTCTTTCTAAATTGAACCTTCTGTGCTTAATGTGCTTGTGAAATCCGAGTGAGCCATGGACAGCCAGATTGGCAAATGCCCGATTAGTAAAACCAAAAGAGTTAATTTTGGAATAAATGTACTGACTAGCCAAACAAAAATATTTTTTATATCTGTACAAAAAGAAGGTTCCGCTAGCAGCAAATTGAAAATAGAGAAATTAGGAAAACTATGGACATTCTTGCCTTTTTCTGTGAAATAACATTTTCAATGTATTACATTACCAGGGAGCATTAAGCCAAAATCTATTGCTTGCCACCAAAGACGTTTTTTTTTTTTAATATTAGAAAAGCCCAAAAAAATTCTAACAATACCATGTACTTAAGGTGTTCTTACACGATATGTATTTGCATGTGTGCATGCCACTTTTTACATATGGAAATGTCAACATATCGTGTAAAGGCAAATTAGATTTGTTTCTGTACAAAGCAGATGCACGTACATACGAAATATAAATGTTTCTATTTTCATCTGATACACAGGTAGAATCATCTGAGTTTGGTTTATTTCGTTTTCAAAGAACGTATTTTTAAACAGTTAAATAAAGACTGTGAATTTGGCAGACATACGCCATTACATATGTATAGAAAAAGTCACATTTAGAGATGCAAATATATATCGCGTAAGAACACCTTTATGTATGTTGGACATACATGTATGTATATGGTATATGGTAGGTATTATATTTAGGCGAAGTATGTTTTAAACATGTATACATACCTCGAAATCATAAAATAACTTCCTCCTGCGGGCACTACTCCATTTGTTGCGATTGCTGACATCGAGATTGCTGTTAACATGGTCTGTTGGAAGACAATGCACATACAAATATAAGGTGCAATCCCGTATTTCTCGGACTAAAACTAGTAAAACTGTCAAAAAATAAAAATTCGCTCAGAGCTAGAGAGTTTCTAATAAAAAATGGTAACTTCTGTCAACTTCAACATAACCTCCAAAATTTGGTTGTAACTTTTTGCTTATTTTGTATGTAAACACACTCAGCTCACACATGTAAATAACCAAAAATACTTTCAAATTCATTAGAATCCACTCAAACAAGTAATTAAATACTTTTCAACATGAGCTAGCAGAGCGCACTTTTCTTTGATTACAATTTGGTTGCCAAACACACTACAGCTGATCGTTTGACACATTTACCAGAATTTACCAGCGAAAAATTCTCGAACAAAAACTGGTAACTTCTGACAGAGAGAGCACCGTATTTACTTTCTTTTTTGTCCTCTCAATAGTCAGAGAACCGAGTACGGGATCGATTTCCAGTAAAATCTGACTGATTCTGACTATTTCTGACTAGTCCGGACTCGTACGGGATCGCAAATATACATACATATATATTAAGTAATTTTTCACTAAAGAGAGGAAACTTTGACGATGATAGAGATAGAGCAAACTTTTCTTGGGATTTGATTTCCATTGCCAAAGTTTGGTGGATGGCTTAAAATGGATATTCCCGTATGTTACAAAAAACCTTGTCTGAAGATAGCAGTGATCCCACAAACGCCCTGAGTCAAGTTTTACATTCCTCGCGACTATCCTCGCAGTAATAAAACAAAATTTACCGCCATGCAAAATATCGTCAAATTACTAATAACGATACTAATTCGGCTATAATAAAAGTACACTCAGAAAGAAGTAACATGATTTTTTCAAACAGAGTCTATTTCGATGTTTCCATGATAGCGCTTGAAAGTTTTAAATAGAAAAAGGAATTTTCAAATAAATTCGCTCTGATTTGAAATCAAAATAGTTGGAATCATTGTAAGAAATTTTATTCAAACTGTACTGGCTGTCGCTAGGCGAGCAGACGAGCATGCTACTATTTGAAAGATTTCAGGATCCCGGGTAACAATGCTGTCAGACGCAATAATTTTGAAACCAGTTAAAAAGTTAGCTCTTTTAGTAGTCCACAACGAAATTTCCGACATGAATATGTATGTATGTAAATATACAGTAAACTTTTCATTTCATATTGCGAATTCTAAAGTGCTTATAAAACCGAGAACCTGCAGGCTTAACCTCAATAGATTTTCTTCTCAATACAAGTAGAGCCAGTATTGAGAAATGAAAATTTAACTAGGGATTTCGGCGGAATATATACAAGTAAATATGTACTATCGAGTATGTGCATGAAATGAGCAACAATGTTTAAAAAATACCAGCGGAATAAATAACTACTGTTAAATTCTTAAATGAGCACTTACCACACAACAGCAAGTTAATACTATGAGAAATCCGCATACCGCGCCAGCGGTACCAACTACCCATGTAAGACGAATAAATAGGATTACACCAAATATATTCTGAATGCATGGCAGGAAAACTCCAATCAGCGTACCTTTGAAGAATATAAATTATTGTCACAATATAAACTTACATATGTATGTATGTATGTACATAAACTTTTTTATGCGAGAGTGTTTTCTACACATAAGCGTGTAAAATAATATTTGTCGCACCTAAACAACCTAGATTATTTCTTTACGAAAAAGCGAGCTATTTATACTTAACTTTTAGGTGTTAGATAAATATTTTACATCTAAATTGTAAGTGCTTAAAAATAAGTAAACAAAAGGGCGAAAACTGCTGGGTATGAACATATTTCCAATTTTCATCAATTACATTTTTTTATTTCATACTATTAAGTCAAGTTAATTTAACTTTTTAGAGTTACCTTTTTTCCACAACAACAATTACATTAAAAATAAATAAAAGTAATAATTAAAGATATATAGGGAGTTCAAAAGGTGTTATATACCGACGTACTGTTGTATGTCATAAACTTTAAACGGCTAAAACTATATTTAAGGAATTCGCAAGCTAACATACAAGTTTTATTATGAAATTTCACACCGTTAGAAAATACTTGGTGGTGGTTTCAATTCCTCTAAACTTTTATTTAGCCGTTAAAAACTTTACAACATACGACAATACGACACGTACGACACCTTGTGAACCACCCAATAGTAAAAACGAGCTCTTGGCTCCCTTAATCCACAATACTGCCGTCAGTCAGAGATTCGCAATAAATTCGCTTAAGTTCAAAGTATCCACTTTAAGCGTTTTAGGATTAAGATTTTGAGAACCCTGAACAAACTAATTTTCAAGAAACCATATTTGCAGATAAACTGCTCCGAGCAATGGAATAAAAATTTAAGACACTGTTCCAAGGGCTATAAAATACATATTTAGATTCCACACTTTTAGTAAAGCGTTTCCCAAAGAAAATATTCGTTAATTCTGTGTGATCGATATTAATTTTTTCAAGAACTTTGAGCCTTAAGGTCGTTAAATATTCCGGAATCTGGATAATTTACTGTTATTTTGTATATAATCTTAAAAACTAACGTTTTGCCTGAGTTTTCTCAATACGTAAATTAAAATGACCGATTTGCTTGAAAACGTCGCGAGTCAATACACTTCTTTGCTCAGTGTACATTAGAGTGGTCCAAAATAAGTAAAGCTCCAATTTTTATGCTCTCACCTCCTAGGATTGTTCTATATCGAAAAAAAAAAATATTTTGAAATAAAAAAATATTTAAAGGTCGCTGAAAGTGCTCAAAGTTCTTGATGTATTTTATAAGAGAAAAACAACTTTTCGTAGAAATGGTATAGAATAATTGAAAATCAATATATTTCTATTCAATTCTATATATCTATTCTGCTTCTCTTCAGAAGACTTCCAAAAAACATACCCAATTGTTTATTTATAATAATAATTGGGTATTATTATTGAGAATCTCCTGGAGATAAACATATTAATTGATTTGGCACTAAACAGAGCTTAATTACACGGCTGCACCAATTTTCGAATGCTCTTACCTCAGTGATGAAATTGCTACTCTTAAATAAATCTTTCCAGGCTGTTTTGAATCTGGCATGAGTAAGTTTTTAGGTGTTCCGATCGTTATTGAGAAAATAACTATTAAACAACCAAGTTGAAGATTCGCAATAAATTCGCTCAAGTTCAAAGTATCCACTTTAAGCGTTTTAGGCAGCGGCGGATTTACCGTAAAGGCAACATAGGCAGGTGCCTATGGCGGCAAAATTTAGGGGCGGCAAAATTTGAGTTGAAGTTTTTTTTAAGTTAGCTTCACTGAAAGTAGAATTTGTGCTTGTACACTTTAAGGCATACATTTGAGATTCAATTACGCAATCAGAAAATAGGGCAACACTGTTAGGTATTTTTGATATTATTTAAATGATAATATTTAAAAATACTAATTTAGTATTTTAGAGATTATAACTTATCAAGTGAAAAAGTTTGTTGATGATGGCTTTTTTTAAAAGTTGAAAAACTTTACTCAAGGCAAATACTACTTTTTAACCGACTTCCAAAAAGGAGGAGGCTATCAGTTCGTCGGAATCTTTTTTTTATGTATGTTTCCGCATAACTTTGAACCGCATCAACCGATTTCGATAATTCATCGGAAAGGTAGTGTCTCATAGGTGGTCCCATACTAATCTGGTTTAGATCCGACCATTGGATCATGAAATATATATATATATACATATATATTTTTAAGTCGGTTTTTTTTTGCTAAAAATTACTGGTTCATCTTAAATTCTAATAAGAGTATAGTAAATAACAAACTTTGAATATTACTATCTACTTCTAATCGTTCCAAAACTGGTACCGTTACCTCAAAATATTTTTCTTATCGGAAAAAGGGCGGTAAATTCTGAATTGTCTAGGGGTGACAAATATTCAAATCCGCCACTGGTTTTAGGATTAAGATTTTGAAAACCCTGAAGAAACTAATTTTCAAGAAACCGTGTTTGCAGATAAACTGCTCCGAGCACTGGAATAAAAATTTAAGACACTGTTCCAAGGGCTATAAAATACATACTATTTAGATTCGTAGAAATGGTATAGAATTCTTGAAAGTCAATATATTTCGATTGGAAAACTCTGGTTATCTTCAGAAGCCTTCCAATAAACATACCCAAGTGTTTATTTAACTATTTTTTTATACTAAAGAGTTTTTATTTATGCCCCCATTGCATTTTCTGGGGGTTTTGGCGGACCTATAAAATAAAGTTACTATAAAAAAATGGTGTAATAAATAATTAGGTATTATTATTGGGAATCTTCTGGAGATAAACATATTGATTTTCAAGAATTCTATGCCATTTCTACGAAAAGTTGTTTTTTCCCATATAAAATACGTGGAAAACTTTGATCGCGTTGAGCGACCTCTAAATTTGTTTTTTTCAAAATAAAAATAGGGTATAGTACAATCCTAGGGGGTGAGAGCACAAAAATTCCGACTTTACTTCTTCACATGCATTTTTGGACTATCCTAGTGTACATACATACCTTTAACTTTATGCCGTAAGCATAGAAATCCTCGGCACACATCGATTTTCTCATTCTCACATACATACATACGTTTGTATTATCGGTTTTTGTAATATGTAGGTATTTAGGTATATGTAGATTTTTTTATTTAAAATAAATATTATTTTCTAACTCATCATATGTAGTAATAGCAACTTTTGGAGTGGGCGGAAAATTAACGTTATATGTATGAGGTACGGTAACTGTTCATTTATCGCATCAATTTATTGTCATGCAAAATAAATTATGTACTTCCAAAAAGATCCTAGATAGTCCTATAATAACCATTCATTGGTTACACAACGTCCTCGATGCGGAAAGTAGGTATAAATATGTAAGGAAATTTCACGTTGATTGTCCTATGTACATAATCATATAAGCGGCTGCATCTTAATCTTAATAGCATCATCTATTGTTACCATATTTTTACGATGTACAATCTTACCCATGCGAGCTGCAGGTGCAGCTGTCTTTGAATCCGGGTCAGTGGCGGATGGTATGGTATTTTCATAATTGGCAAGCGATGAAATAAACGTTGATACGTGTGGTCTGGTGTCCAACTCATCGTCGTACAAGTATAAATTTGCGTCGATGTTAGATTTCTCATTAGCAGGCTCCGACTGCGAATTCTCGCAGGGATCTGTAATAGAATAAAACAAGATGATTAAGTATGTATGAATGTAAAATATATCTATGTACATATTTACATAGTGTTTACGAGTTTAAATTCACTGACAATAGGGTGGTACTTTAGGGTATTAATGACTGAGATCTAGAGGGTCAATGAACTCTGGAACAACAAAACTTTTCTCCTCAGCCTACATAGAGTATCGGTACATATGTATATCTTACTTTAAGACGCGACTGTAAATGCCGAAGGTATCACGAAAAAGTGCGGCCAAAAAAACATGTTTTGCAAATTTGTCTTGCAAACATATTTTAGACTCAGTGGTGTACAGCGAACTTCTGGTACGGTCTAATGTACAACACCTACTATTATAAATTTCCATACGATAGACGATAAATGCTTGGAATCGTATCGTATGAAATCAGTTTTCGTATTATCGTTTTCATACGCCCGACAGATGTAGTATTGTGAATGGCTGTAGTTTTTGTTCACTTTTTAACGGACTTCCAAAAAAGGAGGAGGTTATCAGTTCGTCGGAATATTTTTTTTTTTTTTTATGTATGTTACCGCATAAGTTTGGACCACGTCAACCGATTTCGATAATTCGGAAAGGTAGTGTCTCAGAGGTGGTCCCATACTAATCTGGTTAAGATCCGATCAGTGGATCATGAGATATATATATATATATATATTTCTTTATATGAAGTCGGTTTTTTTTTGCTAAAAATTACTTGTTATTATGAACTAACGCAAATCAGCTACGCTAACTATCGGATTTCATTTGACAAACATCAATTCGTAATAGGAGATAACTGAATATAAGTGTTTATCGTACATCGCACAACAAATTCATAATAGGGGGGTTAATTCCCAAGGCCCTAGCCAACACTTTTTTTTGGAACTGCGTTTTTCACAGAGTTGGTAGGATGTATTACAATAACCTTCAATAAGAATTTGGAAATGTTACTACCAAAAACATACATATCGTTTTGGAAGTCGGTTAAAAAAGTTGTTGGTTAGAGCCTTTGTGAATTAAGGTAACGATAGTAGGTGTATGAAACCAATTCAATGATAATAGAAAGAAGTTGGAGTCATTGGGAAGTGGGCGTGCCCGGTCCTATAGCGTGGAAAGTGGAAACCATAGTGTGAAGCCCACGGCAATAAATGAGTTCTAAATAAATGGATCAGTGCTACCCCTCATTTATAAAAACAAACAAACAAAATATAAGATACGAAGGCCTACCTCGATCGTCTGAGGTATCATGTGCACATCGGGACCCATCAACAGGAACTCACAAAACCATTCGCCCACATTGACCGTATTTATATATATATCGTCGTTTAAAGTGCAAAACCACGTATCAACAAAATGCAAAATCGCGTATCAAGAAAATGCAAAACCGCGTATGTGAGGTTGCATACATTATTTTCTAGAGAGTAAAAACACCCATATTTCAAATGGTTCTCTTTTTTTATAAAGAAAACGCATTTTTGGCTAGTATATTTCAGGACAAATGGATAAGGATTGAGACAAGAGCTTGTGTGAGCAAATCCAATTTTTGGCAGCCAATGTCAGTTACGCGGTTTTGTACTTTAAGCGACGATATGTACATTTGTAACTGCCGCCACAAAGAGTTACATTTGATTGAGTGAACTAAACCGTGTGATGGGACGGTGGGAAGAGTTTCCGTGTCGACAAGTGGATTACTACAACGTGTAACTAATTAGAGTTAAACTGTTTTCACAGTCAGATGTACATATTTTTCGCCATATATGAAATAATGACATCTTATTTGGAAAAATGTTGGTGTTTTTCGCGTTTATTAATTATACATTCTACCAGGTAGAGTATGTGTTTCCCAGCATTGGCGTCTCGATTCCAACAGGTACCGCATTTTGGGAAAAATTGGTAACTGTGTACTATCTTCTCTGTTCGGTACCAGTTGTTTTGCAATGTGGTTGCAGGCCTTTTGTCGGCAAATTTACTTCTTCAACTTCAGCCGAGCCACCTTTCTTTCCGAGAAAATTGGTTGCTTTTGTTGTTCCAAATATTGTTATGGAACATAGTCTGAAATTTATTCGCTTTTTCCACAAATAAATTCGACCGATACGAACTATCGTAAAACTTGAGTTTTTTTCGCAGCATATTATACTCCTGGTCCATTGTATATATGTGACCTGGTCTACGGAAAGGGGGCTTAGGTGTCAAAAAATCAATTTTCACTTTTTGGTTGATTCGGATGGAAGATGAGATGCTTTTTCACGTGGTGAAAAGCAGAAGAAAAGCAGAAGAAATCCTAACTTGCTTAGAAGTGTACTAAAAATGTAGAGAAAGAAGAGTAAAAACGAGTAAACGAAACGAGTTTCTTACTTTTAACAGCTTTTTCACAGAAAACTAGTTTTCGCACGTAAGCTCCCTTTTCGTAGACCAGGTCACATATAGCTATAAAATAAAAATTAAATATGTATTATGCACCGCACAAATATGAAGCCGAGCCGTGCAATTCTCAGTCGGTTTATTTATTCGCACTTCAGGATTTATTCTTGACAGCGTATAGATAAATATCTGTCGCACCTAAACAATCTAGATTGTTCTTAACGAAGATATACCTACATGCGAGCTATTTAGATTTTACGATTACATCGTCCACTACTTAACTTTTAGGTATTAGATAAATATTTTACCTCTAAATTGTAAGTGCTTTAGGAGCATGGTTGTGAAAAGTGACATTTGACAAGTCAAGAAAACTTGTGATTGCTTTAAGTTCGAATAATTTAAAAATAAGTAAATAAAGAAGAAGGACAAAAACCGCTGGGTGAACACATATTAAAAATTTCCGTCAATTACATTTTTTATTTTACTTCATATTATTATTTCATATTTAATTATATATATATTATATCATATTTATCTTTTTAGAGTTACTTTTTTTCCACAACAACTACAATTACATTAAAAATAAATAGAAAAGTAATAATTAAAGAAACTGTAAAAACGACCTCTTGGCTCGCTTAATCAACAATACTGCCGTCATTCAGAGTACAATTTTGATAGGAACAACTGCTCCCTTAATCCGGATTAATTATAGCCTTAAATTAATAATATTAGTAATAGATTCGCTTACACATATCGTCGCCTGGGTAAAAGATTGTCGTATGTTGATTTCGGCAGGTTGTGGGAAATCGCGATTGAAGTTTTGAATGCAATTTCTCAGAAACGCGAAGATAGATATTCTCCAAAGTTTTTCATGGCAGCAATACACTTGGAGGTATTGCCTACCGAGGGGCGACCGCTGTTAAAAAAACTTTTTTTTTTATGTTGGGTTGAACGTCTAATATCCCTAGAGTAGTGCCAGGCAAAATACACACGTACACATAGCACACACAGGCTCGCGAGGCTACTGGCTACTAGACACTGCCCTAGAGCGATTTGCAAAATGGGTCATGCATGAAATTCAATTTCGCGATCAAAATAATAATATATGTAATATTTTGGCGCTTACACTTTTACCAAGTGATTGGCCGAACTTCTCCTTCAATTTGTGGTGTGCGTGCGGCTTGGTGTTGTTACACAAATGGGGGACTGCGACCTCCGAACGGGAAATGGATTTCATGGAAAGTGTTTTCATGGCAGAAATACACTCGGAGATTTGCCCTTGCCTGCCGAGAGTAACCGCTGTTAGTTTATTTATTTTTTTCTTTTAATTTAGATGTTGCTCGGACCAGGAATCGTGTCCAGGTCTCACAGGGTGGTAGCACGCACTTCCAACCACTCTGCAATAGCAGCCACCAAAAAAAAAATGGAATATTGTTTGAACACCCTACTGAGAGAACATCTGAAGCCTAACGCACTGCAAATGTTTTGCAAATTGAACAATCTTTTGGTTTTCAACTGAATTTTGTGCAGACGAATATAGCGAGAATTGCTAAAGGTAGCTTAAAGAAATTATTTCCAAGTTTTATCTGAGTGAAAGGGTGACCTCAATCTTTCCCATCATTTCATTTCATTTGGGACTGCATGTCTAGCAAATTAGGAAACCTAAAAAAATTACCTTGGGTAGTAAAAGAATGCGATGAAATAACAGGCGAACTCGACCGTGAGGCATGCGAACGTTCCCGTAAAACAGGAGAACATTGATTTGAAATTAATAGCCAAAATATGTAGTAGATAATATCCATTTATTTATATTTTTATAGAAATAATAGTCCTGCTATTCAAAACGCTGTATATATTGTTATTGCACCAAAGTTCGTTAAAAATTACCCACCTGTGTTCTCCTTATCATTTTGCGTGCCGATATCCATTTCATCAGCTTTATTATGTACACTGGTAATAGACATTTTAATTGGGATCTAAGCAAGCGGTGTATTTAACGTTGATAACGGTAAGGCTACGTTTTCAATACTCATCATAAGCGCCTGTTTGGAATACTATTTGTATTTTTTGCAAATTAAGTAACTGTTAAGCGAATCTTGATGTACGTAGGTCCTTATTTTATCACATATTTTTTTATCCACATACACTTAATACATTGACACAATCATACTTTGTTCGAACTCTTTTCAAGCTTTGGAACATTACAGCAAGTGACCTGATTGGAAATGTTTTCATTAAAAAACTTTTTTTGTTGAACATATGTACATATACATATGTATGCACAATATGTATGTATGTATTTATGTAGGAGTAAAAGCTTTTCATAATCAGCATTTATTAGTTAATTATAATTGCAAATTAAAATGCATGCATCCTTTGATTGCACATATGTAGATACATAAGTTCATACAAATGTATGTACGTGTGTAAGGATGTATGTGCAAATCTCTATATATGTATGTGAATGTGCCAGTTCAGACATAAACACATATATACATAGCTACATACATCCATACATAAAATGTACATGCTGAGTTTACGTAAGTTGAGATACGGATATAACTACAACAGCATGTATACTAATATCCCTGCTCAAAATATTAAGGTGGAATTTTAAATGAATTACATATTGACATACATATACACATACATACATACATAGTAAATTATCGAAATGGGTTTCAAATGCATTTGTAAAAACCTCATTCACTTTATTTATTTGCTTAAAATTTCAGAACTGATTGCCTTTTTCGCAATGCATCCTTCAAGTTGCCTACAAATGTACTTTGATTGAGCAAATATGGTATAAGTATGTCATCGATGTTAATATTGCTTTTAATTACTCGCATACTTTTTATACACTTTTTCACAGCTACAAAATCAACTTAGTTGATTCACATTAATTAACCGTTTTAGCCTTAAATTAAACCACAGGATTTTTTTTTTAGAAAATGTATTTAATTCGAAATTTTTATATCACGAACTCTTATGTAATTAGTTCAGAGTGATTTCCAACGTAACTACAAGCAGTGAGTCTTTTACTTTATATCAGCCAACACAAATACAATTAAACTGAATTTATTTTATTTTTAAGATGCTAAATTTTTCATAATGAAATTTCAGTTAATAACATTTACGTAGAGGCTAATCTTTCGAGCAGTTTCCCCGTCAAAGGGAAAATCTGTACACAGAGAATTCCTTTACAAGTACTAATCCTAGGAATGTGTATGCTGCGGAGCTTAAAGGTGCCAGGACCTGCGTATTGGGGAGAAGCAAATTGTGATACATAAGCAAAAGATATCAACTGAATCCACCACAGCATCCCTGGGCGACGTTCGGCAAGTAAAAGCTTTTTATCACAGTTTACCAACAGAGCAGCTTTGTAACTAAAAGCTGCAAAATATTTGGGTTTAAATCTGTATGCAGGTATGACTAAATGAAAAATTTACATACATATACACATACATATTTAAAAATACACTAAGAGTACAGCCACAGATGGCAATGCAAGTTGTTTCCAAAAGCCGGTCAAAATCAAAACTTTCGAAAAATAATTGCAGGACCAGTCATATCATTCACATGAAGGGACTTTCAAAAGTACATATTTTCGTTTATAAAAATATATGTATGTAACTTATTAATATATATTAAAAAAACAGAATACATATACAATATGTACATACATATGATGTGATAATCATACGTTCAGCTAAAGAGTTAATTTAATTGAAAGATTTTATGGATTTGGTTATCAGGTGCTGTTTTGAAACATATTTCTCAAAAATTCCCTCTTACATATGAAATACAAACAAAGATTAAATTAAAAAAAAAAATTAATTAAATTAAAATAAATAAAATCTGCAGCAGTTTCTTTCTTGGTAAATTTGTTTGCTTCTAGAAGCAACGATCCATCCTTGCAAGGCCCAGTACTAAGCGTTTGTGCTCCTGAGTTAGGCGAACGTAACATAAGCTGATTTAAATCGCTTCTTTTTTATGTAAAAATTTTTGACATGCAATTAAATTTTAACAATTCAGAATTTTTGTAAAAAAAAAAAGATAAAAAGATTTGGTATTTTAGAGACCGCTGCTGTTCAATATGTCTTAGCCGAAACAAATTGAAGATGGTAAAATTTAAAAAAACTTAACAAATTTTTTATAAATTTTTTCAAAAAAATCTATCAACTAACGAAGAAAAGCGATGGTTACATTAACAAGTTGTGAATGGTGAAATGATAATGCGTAATGATTTTCTTTGTATGAAATATGAGCAGGAAAGAATGTTACTCATACGCCATGTACTACGAGTATGTTTTTAATCAAGACCGATAGAATACAAGATGATGTGAAATTCGGGGGAGTAACGTTAATATGACGTCATCGAAGATTTGCCGGTGTAGAGAGCTGAGAGAGATCTATCAGTATGTATATGTTTTGCATATGTATATGTATATCGTCGATGTTTTTGCAAAACCGCTCATCGAACAATTGCAAAACTGCCTAAATGGCCGTTATGGCAAAAATGAGATTTGGTAACCCTGAACTCCAAGCATCGAGATTTATGCATAAAAATCATAAAATCGTTATTAATCCAACAGGTTTGTAAAATAATTGCTAGAGAAAATACCCCCTACCAAGGCAATGCCTTCAAAGAAAAACCGTTTTTTCGCTCTCCTGTAAAATTTGAGTGCCGTACGATAAACGGTTTTGCAATTGATCGATGGGCGACGATATATATATTACACAGGCAATACACAAAATCTCCTATGACGTCATATTTCTGTCAAAATTTTCAAAGAGATTTAGCGGTAACAAAATCAGCTCCTCGTTCTCTGTTCGTTTCACCATGGTTTTAAATATGATGTTTCCACGATTCGTAATTCGCTCTCTAAGTAATACGTGAATTAGTAATTCGTTTAGCAGATCTACTTCTTGTTCTTCGCTATTTATTATTATTTTTGTGAACTGCAAATATCGAAGATGGAGCAAAAATTTAAGTTACCATCAAAGATTTTAATTTATATAGAGAATATTTTATTAATTAATTTTCCAGCAACTAGAAAAAGTGCCAGCAAATGGAACAAGGCCGGTGAAAACTTCGATATATTTCCGATTAATTCGATCTGAATTACCTGCACTACAAATGAGGTAATTGGCTCTCAAAATTTTGTATGGCGAATTATGTAATTCGAAGGGTAATTGGATGGCGAGTGACGAATGGGAGAGCGAATTATGAATGAGAGAGCGAATTACGAATCGTGGAAATGTCGTATTATACCCGAGCGCTCTTGTGCATAAAGAAATTATAACTTTGTTCACATAACGGTAGTTTGTAACAGCCAAAAAGAATCGAGATAGATATAGACAAATGTATGTATATATAAATGCTCAGAATGAATAGAGAAGTATATTCTATCCGTCCGTCCGTCCGTGTACACAATAACTCGAACAACAATTTAAGTATTATATAGGTTGCCCTTAATCCAAGGTAGATTGGTATTGAAAATTGGCGAAATCGGACTGTGACTACGCCCACTTCCCATATACGGGATTTTCGAAAAATGCAAGAACTACGATATTTCTGTAAATATTGGATGGAAATTGCTCTACATAGTATGTGAGGTAGAATTTTGGTAAAAAATAATATTCTTATGAAATTTTTGGAAAATGGACGTGATCCCGCCCACTTAAGGTGAAATGCTGTATTCCAGTAGCCGCTTCACCAATCCTTACAAAACTCGGTACGAGCCTTGCCTAGGCTCTAGTGAAGAAATCTATTGAAAATATTTGAAATAAGGAAATAACCACGCCCGCCTACCATAGAACATAGCATGGCACAACGCCGAAGCCGGTATGTCTGCAAGCCGAGCTTGACAAGGGATGACGGAAATTCGTTCCAATAAATCAGTTACAATAATCTCTAAACAATAAATAAGACTGCTATAGAATTTTAGGATTTGTACGTGGCACCGCCCACTTTATTACTAAAAATGTGGATATTGTCGGAAACATTTCGAATCGGGAAAACGCCCGTGCTTATCATGCAAAGGTAGTTTAGAGAAATTTGAAACAACGGTATTTGATACCTGCGCCGGGTATATAAAGTTCGATTTCGCCCGAATTTTTAAAGTTTGATTTCTTTTTCATTCACAATTCATACTTAAAATGAAAATATTTTGAAAAAATTCACTGAACTAGAAAAACGGTATACAGACCGGTAATCTACGACCCAAAATTAAGTAAAAGTTCCCAGCGCATTTTGGTTATATTTACCAAATCTTAGGTTGGTATTATGCAGAAAGTTTTTTTGCAGATTGCGCGACTCTCACATCAAACTAACTTTATTAGCGTTGCCATAACAAAAATTATAGGTAATTATAAAAATTATAGGTACTGGTTGTTATACACAAACTTCAGTTTACCGTTGATTTTTTTATTTTAATACATCTAAAGCAAGTAATTTAAAAACATTTTTTAAGGCAAGGTTTTATTAATGGTTATTAGGGGTGCGGGGACCTCCTAACGGTTAAATTTTTTGTGGAGTTATTTCTTTCCAATTTAGTAATTTACGTTCTCTATATGAAACAACCCGTACCATAAATACGGATTTTCCAAATATCTCGACTCCTGCGCCACCTATCGGGTAAAATGAAGTATGGACATATTCCCTTTTATGTAGGTAATATATATTCCAAATATGATCTATTTCGGTTCATATATACGTATTTTTTTTAATTTCTCGACACCCGCGCCACCTAGCGGATTAATTCGTCTTTCACATTGCTTTGCCATCGAGTTCTGAGCTAAGTTTAAAGCTTCAAGTCTCTAGCTCATCGGGAAACATAATAAAAGCTTGTAAAAACGATCAGTTTGAATAATTCTTGCAGTTCTTGTTTCCCCAATAAATAAATAAATAATAAATAATAAAAATAAAGTATACCGTTTTTCTCATCTCATTGATTTCTATCGATCCCTATATAGATATTTTAACCGACTTTAAAAAAGGAAGAGGTTATCATTCGTCGGAATATTTTTTTTCTGGATTTTTTATTATGTTACCAGCTGTGTAAAATGGCGATGAGCAATATCACCAGCTCCGTCATTGGGAAGGAACTCTCCGAGCCGTTTGATACCAAACGAGATTTCAGATAAGATTTATTGTGAAATATTGAGTAATATTATACTTTATTATATCAGGCGGCTTACCGTTTAAGTCATTTAGAAGTTTCCCAGTTGCATTTTCATCAGCCGGGTAGGGATCTGTATCGTCCTCCGCTTTAGATACTATAAATCTCTCTGGCATTTTCTGGTTCGGATCAAATCTAAAATTTTACAAGTTCACAAAGTTAAGTATAATTCAATTAAGCAGACAATAAAATTATATATCCTGTCTACATACATATTTGTATGTACCAGTAAATATACCAGACCCATGCATTCTTATATAAAAATAAATATATTTAATTTATTCAGTAATCACAATCATATTTAATAATAGCACATCATCTTATTTAAAGCCGCCAAAGAGAGCAACACAACAACAACCACATGAAAGAAAAAGTTCAGAAATACCAGACAAAAAACTTAAGCAAAAAAATCTCATCTAAAATAAATTAGTTAGTCTGTTCCAATGGCAGTCCGGTTTACAGGATTTAGTCAGAACTTACAGGAAGTCGTTNGAACACATTTGAGAGAGTAACTGAGCAACTGTTCCTAGTCAGAAGTTACAGGATTTAGTCCGGAGTTTTTTTTCCTGTAAGTTCATGAAAAGTGTCAAACGATCAGCTGATTTACATGTGCAAACAAAAACAGAAGCGGTGAAAGCAAAGAACCTTATATTTTCTTTATGGTTGTTTGTGTTTCCGACTGAAGATTGCACAACGCCGAAACCGGTTTGTCTCCAAACCAAATTTGACAAGGGATGACGGAAAATCGTTCCACAATACATCAACCTTATATTTGTTACAAAATGGAAGTAAACAACGAAATATTTGAATATGTATAGATTTTTATAATTATTTAGTGATATTTCAGCCAAATCAGTGTTGTACCAATGCCAGTTAAACAAACCGACTGACGTTTTTACAGGAAATAGTGCTTTTTGCGTTCCCGTGCACTTCTGCATCTGTTCTCCTTTTACTCTCATTTGAGAGAGTAAAATTGTAGTTTGACAGTTCCACAGGTTTTAGTCCGAAGTTCAAAGGAACAGACTAAAGGCTCTGTTATACATACTTGGCATTGCTTGAGTGTTGTCACATAAGGAATCTGTTAAATGAGCTTCGCGTGTAAGCGGTTACTCAACGCACAGCATTACATACGTAGAAGTCTGTTGGTTTTTGATTTCTACGTAAAAATGGTATAGCAGTGCATGCAATGCCAAGTATGCATAACAGAGCCTTAAGTATGAACGTATTGACGATTGAAGCCATCGTCAGAAAATAAGTGAATAAAGGGCCCGCCAGATAGAAAATCTTTTCTGCGTCACAGGAATGATTTTTACATAAATTTTTTTATGCGTGCGCCAAAAGTTGAGAGTTGGGTGAATTTTATCAGTTGCGGCAATGCATGCGTTGCCAATGTGGCGTCTTCTATACAAAATTACAGAGTTAGAGCGCGGTTACCCACGAACGTGTACGTAGCGTAGCGTAGAAGTACGTAGAAAGATATCAAGTATGCTGTTGATAGAAAGAGAGAGAAGCAACGTCTACGTCACGGTCATGCGGTGGTGAGTTTTTGTTACCACGCAGTTACCCACGGACGTAAAAACGGAGAACGTGTCAGCTGACACGATCTATCTTATGGGATCTATTATTATTTTCAAATTATCTAAATAACAATTCATTCGAATAATACCCAACTTTACTTATAGTACCCTAAACTATAAAATTGGAGCTTCATTGAAAATGTCAATTAGTTAGAGATGAAATTTTTAATTTCACAATTCAAATGTTTGTGCATAATCTTAAGGCCCCGCCGGATAGAAATTATTTTCTGTGTCCTACACGAATGAATTATTCGTGAATAAACTAAAACTCGATTGAGCCACGATTTACTATTATTTCAATTGGCACTGATTGTCAGTTAGTTGAATTCTGGTTACCGTTTTATCAATAATATTACTTGTTTTATTTTCATTAATTATTTGAATAACGAACAAAATAATTTTAATTTATTTAATTTTCTGACAAACGTGTAATTTTAACTTGTGTAACCTTTGTAGATCGTGTTAAAAAAAAATTGTGGTTGCTCACGCTTGCCACCTTGTTATTTTTCGTTCCTGTTTTCCAAATCGATGGCTGAGTGGAAAAGACGAAGATTCCGGCAGCCAGTTCGAAAACTCCCTAGCTCAGAAAAATTTTCAACGGCACCCTATTTCAGAATTTTGTTTAAGAACGCCCTATCTCAGCATATTTTCAATTCGAGTTCTGAGATAGGGTGTTCTCGAACCAAATTCTGAAATAGGAACGCCCTATACATCAAATTCGTAGTAGAATTTTTTTTTTATTAAATACCGAAAATTATCATTAGTTTGATTTTGTATGCAGAAGTTTGTTTGGAAGATTTTTTCGATCAAGCACAAGTTATTTTGCGATCTTGCGTTATTATGACCGCTGTAAATCTTTTGTGTTCTAAAAAATGATATCTTAACAACGGTTATTATATAATAAAAAATTCAAATTTCGCTGATTCTTGATGGGAAAAACCAACAATATGTATATTTACATATGTATGGATTTAAACTAGCTTTTAAATGCAATTTATATTATAAAAATTAATTTCTAACGGTTAAATTAAGATTCCAATTATAAAGGCCATAACCACAAAATAAGTGAATAAGCTTCGAAATAAAAAATATCCAAAAAGTTAACACATCCATACATACATATATCGTACTGAGTTACTTAGCTATAAAATAAAAATTAAATAGGTATGTAGATATTATGCACTGCACAAATATGAAGCCGAGCCGGTTTAATTATTCGCACTTCAGGATTTATGCTTGTCGGTAAATGCTCGGTTTAAAAGTTCAGTTTAAAAAGATCGTTGCACCAAAAAAGTATTTTTAAGCTTTAATAAGACACTCTTTTTGCAATTTCATACATACATACATACCATCCAACGAAACATCACATGGCCTCGTAACCTGCACGATACACTCTTGTTTAGTACATATGCATGCATCTATGTACATATATGACATACATATGTGTATACTTTTGTATGTATGTACTTAAGTTCTACAGATTTGTGCTCACTTTAGTACTTTAGTGCTTGTAATTCAATTTTTTTGTTTTGCCTTACTCATACACTCTTACAACCGCATGCCCATACTTACAAAGCAAGCCTACGGACAATCTTCCACGGGAAATATTCAAATACATACTTATACACATACCTTACTTAATTCATTCGGCTGCAATAAAAGTTTTTTTATTTTATCGAAGTTAAATATTAATAAAAGCAACTTTTCAATTCTACGATTAACATAAAACTGATAATGCTGAGAAGCGCATGAGTAACACTAAAGAATTTTCTACTGTATATAATTTAAAATAATGGTATTCGTGATATTGGTTTCTTTTACATATTTGCTTATTGGAATGTCCATACGCGGATTCTAACCTGTCAGTATAAGGATTTATTCCCTAACACAATTGTTAGACTATAAGTAATTTAGACATTTTGAATATATATATGTACATTGCAAACCCAATATACACATAATACATATGTACGTGTGTATGTATGTACATAAAAGAGGAGGAATCATCTCGCATTTTTATACTTACTAAATTTAGCTGAACTCATATTTTAACTGAAATTGTATAAGCGTAATAGTTGGTGATAAAATATATGTGTGCATACAATGTATGTATGTATGTATGTATCTATTCACATGCATATCAGTAAAAATGTACATATTAATCCGTGAAGCATTTACCTGTTATGCATTCATACAAAAGTATGGATGTATGAACATATGTATTAGAGTCTGACCGATTCCCAATTTTTGGCCGATGCCGATGAATTGGCCGGAGAGCAAACAATCGGCGGATGGCGATTCCGATGCCGATTCCTTAAAAAAAAACTACCTGAATATACATTCATTGAAAAACAAATGCTTTTAATACATAATAATACATAGTAATAATAGAAATAACAAATGAAAAACATAAACGTAGTTATTTACATTACAAAACATAGTTATTTACAAAAAAAAACTAGTATTTCGCGTATACATAGCATTACAATACTTTGTTCCATAGTCTTTTTCTTATCAATGTAAAATAAATAGTTCATCCGAAATTACATTTCCTAGTTCTACCCAAAGTAGTAAAAAATTATGAAAGTATTGTTGTAACGTAAATAATTTAACAATCCAGTGAAAACATTTAGGTATTCAGCGATTAATTCAAGGATAATCGTAACAATACATACAGTGATGAAAATATAAATACGGAAGAGACATTTTAGCATGTTTATTACGTTTTTATGGAAATATAGTTCGTTATCTAACAAAAACCATGTAAGTAAAAATTTCAAACTTTGTACAAAAATTAGCATTGTTCGACAGCTTTTTAATTAGATTTTCTCGAAACATTCTGAGTATGCAGCGTTGTAGCCCATTCAATTTTATTATAACGAAGTGCAAATATTAAGTAGCTAGGACTTACCGTTGATTTTTGGCAACTTTTTTGTGGAAGGTGTTGCTGATTTTCTCCATACAAAAAAATGTTGAACATAATTTGTATAGAAGAAAATGCGTTAACAAAAAATTTCCAAAAATCAATGATAAGTCCTTTATTATACTAAAATTTAAAGAAATACATACTCAAAAAAGTTCTATAAAATCGAATTTAACAGTTTCAAATTTTGATTTACAGGGCTTGTTTGGATAGTAATCTATATTTTCATAAAAAATAATAAATATTTTTTAAACAAAGAAAAATAGCCAAAACTTGCTAAAATGTGTCTTCCATATTTACATTCTCGCCACCGTACATCATAAAAACGAAACATGAGAACACGTTTATGACAGGAGGACTCAGATGCATTAATATTTCAAGCTTTTAAGGAATTAAAGGCTGCCTTTCTTTATACATTCCGGATAATCCCATTTCACAGCCGGAATAAACAGAATACGTTTGAAATATACGTTAACATATCATCAGGAACGTTCTAAAGAATAAGTAAACAAAAAAGTTTATTCCAAACGGTCAGAATGAATAAAGAAATTCAGCCAAAAAAGTAAAAAATAAATAACATGGAATCAGTGTTGCCAAGTTTTGAATTTGAAAAAGCACTAAAACCCAAGAAAAACGCGTTTTTCTTGAAAAAACACCAATTTTTTTGTGGGGTATTTAGGGGACTTTGCCGATTCAAATTAATAAAAATCAATGTTTTTTATTCGTATATTTATTCGTTTTTCTTTAAATTCAAATATTTTCGTTCAAGCGACGTTAAGATTTTTGTTTTATTTTCTAATTTGCAGCTGCGTCCAGCAGTTGCCGTTTCGCTTAGATGTAAGAAAAATTTATTAATTTTTTCTTTACACAATTTATTCTATATGCAAAACCCACACAACACCTTCGGCAAAAAATTCTGAAACAATAATGTTTAGGTACTTGAAACTTGCACTATTTTATATTGCAATTGAGTGGGCTAAAAAATTTTTCTAGAAAATCTAAATAATAAGCTCGAAATTTTTATATAATTGCACAAAGTTTGAAAATTGAATTTAAACGGCTTTTGTTAAAGACTGAACTATATTTTTATAAAAATAACTCAAATTAAATAATAAAAAAACACAGATTGTGAAAACTTTTCAAAATTTGGTGCAACTAAATTTTTTTCCACCGCTGTATGTATGTAAATATCATACATACGTACATTTTTTATTACCTTAATAAAATTTTGGTTTGGTTTATGCGGACATAGATGAATTATACATATTTAAAAGTAGAATAAACAGATACCAGGAGATATCTATGTCTGGGGAATTTTAAGAAATTTCGGGCAAAATCGGGGAATTTCATTGTCGAAATTGGGGAATTCTCAAAAATGAGTTGGCTGCCCTGATCTACATACTAAATGAGTGTGCACACATGCATGGCTGTGTTCATATGGAATAGTAGCTTATGTCGAAAGGCTGGCTTTAGTATAATGCGCCATTCGCAGCATAAGATTGCGAATGACTCAATGGCGCCGAACCATTGAAGAACTTTTGGCAAATAAACGTCCGAGAAATATACTACATTTATACGTAAGCTATTTGCAAATACCTAACTCACTGTTTATTCGATGGTGAAAAATTCTTGTTTAATATTGCCTGATTATAAAAAGGCAATAATATGACCATTGAAAAAGAGAATAAAGTTAAAAATGGCAACGTCTTGATTATAAAAAAGCAATAAGTTGACCATCGAAAAAGAAAATAAACCTAAGAATGGCGGCGTGATTTGCGTGATTTAGTTATTTGCAAATAAAAAATTAACTCATCGTTTATACGGCAAATTTTACCATTTTGCAAATTGTTATTCGCAAATAATACGTGCGTATAAACGTAGTAATAGTCCCGATACTAGCAAGTCAAATACTAGCAAGCCAATATTCTAATTAAGTCTTATCAAAAAATTCCTTTACGTTTAAAGGATAAAGGGAATGCCGCATTATACTAAAGCCAGCTTCTCGACATAAGCTACCATACGAACACAGATATGTATGCGCAGCATAAATAAAAAGCATACGTAATCATACCACAGCGGACCTACATCTATATACATTTAAAAAATCATTCAATTGGGAACCATTACCTACCAGATCTCTAAATCGTATTGAATGATGGTTATTTTGTGTAATGATTTTTGAAAGGATCAGTGTGTTTGTCGCTCGTTAGGTGGCGCAGGGATTGAGAGTAGTTATGGGCATGGGACTAAATATTAAGTCCCAATCGCGCCCATCCTTAAATTCAATTTTCAACTTCCGAACCCGCTCATCCCGACGTTTTTCAGAATTGTACCGCGGGCCCGGAGGCCACGAAATCTATCTCTAAAAAAATTCACATGTCTTTCAGATTAATTTTAAATAAAAAAAAAATAAGGACGATCTGGCATCCTCCAACTATTTTGTTTTGCTTTGCTGTTCGTTTTCGTTTCAATAAAACATAAAAATTGCATATTTAATAAAAAATTTTTAAGGAAGATTTTCTGAATTTGCGGAAGTTGCGGTTTAATCGGGAGTATCGGGAAAGGATTTTGATCCCGTTCAGTCCGTTAAATTTTTACTGACCTTCCTGATACCGCCCATCTCGAATCAGTACCGTGGGTTCTAATATTCCGGGCCCATTTCTAATTGAGAGCTATAGCAAAAATATTGGGCTTTAGGTCCAATCTTGACAAAACCCCGTGTAAAACCGCCGCTAGAGAAAGAAATATTATATTTTGTTTTACACCTTCGAGGTACTTAACCTCCACCGATTCTGATGAAAAGAATGAGGAGTTTATGCAGATGTTGGCAATTTAGTTTTTACATTCCAAGGGGCTCTCAGACCAATATTTTCTAAAAAAGTATTTACAGTCTGGATTGGTATTTGTTTAACATAATAGTCAGTGAGGAACCGTTAGGCATCTCATCTATACATAAAAATACATAAATATGCATATTTTTTGTCGAATTTCGACAACTGGGGGATACTAGTTATACATACATATGTATGTACAAAAAATTTTAATCTATATATATCTATGTACATTCATGAATGTACGAATGTATGATTATGTGCAAGCATTTTAATCTGTATGTTCTTTGATCATGTTACTGATCTCGTTCCGCGCCTCTAACTTTACGCGGAAGGACAAGAAAAACAGTTTAGTGCAATGAAATGGTGAAATAAGCTAACCGAAACTTAATACCAAAGAATGTAGAAAATCAAGAAACTGGACAATTTCACGACTGGCGTATTTCGTATCTTCTGGATTCATGGTGAAACTCCAGAGGCTACGAAATACATAAGCTGCAGAATCAAATGTACAGTTGGCATGAGATGGCTGATCCTAAATCGAGACGCGGGATTAATTACAAAACTACACCACATTTTGATGAATGTTTTGAAGTCGCGATAGTATATAATATATTATATAATATATAATAAATATTCGGAGGCACCTGTTTTACTAACGAACTGCCATAACTAAACAAAAGCGTCAGCGTTGTCTGGCTGTCGAAAAATTCTCATACCCATAGAATTTGTATGAAGTATACCGAAAATCCTATTTTGACAGGGCGTTAGGTATTGAACACACAAACAAACCTATGCTTATTGTTGGTGTTATTTCTGCATTTGACGTAGCGTTGACGCTTTTGTTTACGTATGGCACTTTGGCGCTAACGCTAAGCGTCAGAAACCACTCCGCCCAACGCTTTTGTTTAGGTATGACAGTAATTAAAGTTAAACTGTTTTCACAGTCAGATGTACATATTTTTCGCCATATATAAAATAATGACATCTTATTTGGAAAAATTTTGGTGTTTTTCGCGTTGATTGACTATAGATTCTCCCAGGTATAATATGTTTTTCCCAGCATAGGCGTCTCGAATCCAACAGGTATCATATTTTGAGCAAAATTGGTACCTATGGGGCGATTTGGACGTCAGGTTTGTGTAGTAACACTTGGGACAAAGTTTTTTTGCTCTGAATTCGTTAACCATTAAAAGGTATTCGCACGGGGCGATTTTGGGTTCAACTTTTGGGTTCAATTCACGCAGGGTTGCACGAAAAAAAAGTTGAATGGCTAAGGGCTGGTTGTTCAATGTCTGGTTATCACTACCACTACACTATCGACGATTTCGACATCATGCATGTAACATGTGATCGATAAAGCAGTCGTTGTACTTAACCGGAGCTTCTTCCTCCGATTTGTGCTAATCAGACATTGAACAACCGGCCCTTAATGTTGGCTGGGGACCAACTTTGTTGAAAGCGGTTAGTGGAAAGGCCGTTCAACCAAAAGTAGAATGCAAAGTTGAACAATGCAAAGGCGTTTTTATGGTGAATATTTTAATATTTTTTTATATCTTGATATTTTTAGCCATTCATTTTTTTTCTCGAGCAACCCTGCGTGAGTTGAACGCAAAAGTTGCCTAAAAAATCGCCACGTGCGAAAGCCCCATTAAGGCGATGTCAGATAAAACTTTTGCTTCGCGTTGCGTGACAGATTCGCTTTGACAGAAAAGATGAAATGTATGAAAATGCACAAAGCATGTCACATAGATCGCTTCAGCCGCAGCACGAAGCGAAAAGATAGCCAACTCTCATCTTATTGCGCGCGTTGACAATCAGCTTTAATATTTATTTTGTTTCGTCCAAATTCGAGTTTTCATGCAAAAACATAAAATTTAATTACATTGCTGATATTTTTAAAGCTAAATAAATGAAATCCACAGCAATTTTGAGGAGTAAAAATCAGAACAAAATTGTTTTCTTGGCGTTCATTGTGGCATACTTTCTGCTTCTGGCGCCTTGCTGGCAAAGTTATAAATGTCACGCAAAGCCACATAGTTTTATCTGGCATCAGCTTTAAGATGTCTGCTTTGCGTTGTTTTGAAGCTGTTAGAAGTAGACGGTTAGGTGTACGCCGATATCCGCGTATTGGCAAGTTCGCGGCGATCTTGGTTGAACCAATGCATATTAAGGTATTCTCTTGTCTCTTCGGTACCGGTTTTTCGCAATGTGGCTACAGGCTTTTTGTCGACAAATGTATTTCTTCAACTTCAGCCGAGTAACCTTTCTTTGCGATAAAATTTGTTGCTTTTGTGCTTTTGTTGTAGTATCTCAAGTTGATATTTATAGTATTCTTTAAATTTTGACGAATTCGCCGATAATCCTGTTTTTCTCGTGATATCTTTTGTATATTTCTCCAGTTTTATTTTGCGCGAATAGACACCATAGTGATAATACCAGAGTGAGACACGAGTGTGTATAACCAGGCAGGTGTGAACAACCCAACCAAGGCGAATTTATACCAGGTGATGTTACTGGCTAATTTAGATTACAACAACAACAACCACATGTATTTGGATTGTGGGTGTTATGTCAAATCTCAATTCGCCCCAAAGTTTACATGTATTTTGTTTTTGTTTTTGATGGGTGTGCTGTCAAATCAGTAAAAGAAAAACCAAGTACATTTAAGGCGAAGAAATCAGCTGATCTTGCAACACCACCTTGTATAAATTCGCCTTGAACCCAACAGTTTTAAGCTTGGATTTACATGGCGATTTTTAAAATATACGAGTGTGTATAACCAGGCAAGTGTGAACAACCCAACCAAGGCGAATTTATACCAGGTGATGTTACTGGCTAATTTAGATTACAACAACAACAACCACATGTATTTGGATTGTGGGTGTTATGTCAAATCTCAATTCGCCCCAAAGTTTACATGTATTTTGTTTTTGTTTTTGATGGGTGTGCTGTCAGATCAGTAAAAGAAAAACCAAATACATTTAAGGCGAAGAAATCAGCTGATCTTGCAACACCACCTTGTATAAATTCGACTTGAACCCAACAGTTTTAAACTTGGATTTACATGGCGATTTTTAAAATATAAAACATATCTAAAAATAATAAGAAATCAACCAGGAATGTCTAGCATGAAAAATACATCAATTTTTGTGAACGAAATGAAATGAAATGAAATAACAAACAACTTGACGGAGGTTGACCAACTTGCCAAAACCCGGCTTTTTTACAACCAGCTTCTAGCAATTGACCAACTGGTTCGCCGATAAATCAATGCGTGCATAGGATCTTTAAGTTGGTCAACTCGCTTTTCAATTTTGGGTAAAAATAATCGATTAATCTCTGCCACTTCTAAAAAGTTTACATAAAAGCTGGAATTGTGTGTGTAGTGAATTATAAAGGCGATGGCCGTATGAATAAAAACTAATTGCCTTTTCCTAAAATTTCAAAGCACAGTATTAAATTTATCATAAAACGTCAAGTGTTTTAAAATTTCGTTAATCCAGGTGTGTATCACATAGTTTAGATGTGCATGTAATATAATGTGCTATATAATATAATATAATATGTATATAAACTAAAAATTTGAAACACGTGCTTTTAGTGAATAAGGAACTCCAATAAGTACGTACATATACATGTATTCTGGACAGCGAATTTACTACATGCATATGCAAAAACACAATTGCTGCGTTTCCTTTAATAGAAATTCCATTTTAATTTTTTTAATTGCCTTGCAGATTTTAGCTTTTAGCCGTAATGGAGTTACCAGCTGATAAAAATATTGATGTAGATTCCTGCAACGAATCTGATGATGGAAGAAAGGACTCTGAAAACGCCAAAATGATGTACGGAAATGCATATCATTAATTATTTAGAAATTTGATAAATGTGAATGCTAACTATTTGATTCCTCCATTTTATGCGTTTAGATACGTATGTATGTATAACTCTGAAATTATGGCTGCATTCCAAAACGACAAAAAAAGGCGCTTATTTCTAAACCTCGGTATATGTATTGTAATGCCAAATTTGTGCAACCACGTTTGTATCCTGGTTTTCTACTTGGTTGCTCAAGTTAGACTTCTAGTATGGTTTGGAAATAAAAGAGACTGATGCTTTGTATTTTGACGTTTTGGAATGCAGATATACGATCGGGTATTCCATGTACATCAATACATTGAAATCTCTTATTGTCTAGTATCTTGAAACCCAATTCAAGTTGTAGCTATTGCTGAAAGATACATTTAAAATTTCTATTCTATATTATCTTTGGTTTCTTCTTAACTGATATTTACCATATATATTTTAGACCATTCGGTTGTATGGGCGCTTTGTTCCGACGTCAATTTTTGCAAGAAATGGTAAAAAACCTTCCTAAACCCATACAAAACAGAGTAACTGCTTTGAAAAACATTCAACTCGAACACTTGAAATTGGAAGCAGAATTCTTCGAAGAACTTTATAAACTAGAACGGAAATATCAAGAGAAATATCAACCGCTTTTTGACCGTAGGAAAGAAATTGTTACTGGAGATGTGGAACCTACAGAGCAAAAACCGCAATGGAAATCAGAAGACGTCGAGGATGTAGAAACGTCACCTGAATTTCAGGATATGATAAAGTAAGTTTATACTAATATCGTTGCACTGAGTGTCATTAAATTTATTTCTACAATTAGGAAAGTAAGGGAAATTCCTGAAGATACGAAAGGTATTCCAAACTTTTGGTTTACAATATTTCGAAATACTGAATTGCTTGGTGATATGCTTCAGGAACATGATGAACCTGTTCTAAAAAAACTAAATGATATAAAAATTAAGTACGACGATGAGGTAAGTTCTAAATATACGTGCTTATAACGTTTAAAGTGTAACTAAGAAATTAATTTCATTTCAGCATTCCTATACACTGGAGTTCTATTTTGATAAAAATGAGTACTTTTCGAATGAAGTTCTCACGAAGCAATACTTCTTGAAAGCAATGGTTGATGAAGACAATCCATTCGGCTTTGAAGGACCCGAAATTTACAAGTGCAAGGTTAGTATTTGTTTATACTCCTTATTCCCGTGGTTCTAATTTTTTGTTTTAGGGATGTCCGATTAATTGGGAAAAGAAAATGAATCTCACCATCAAAACAATTAGAAAGAAACAAAAGCATAAGGAACGAGGCACCGTCCGTAATATTGTTAAACAAGTACCGAACGACTCATTTTTCAATTTTTTCAATCCTCCTGAAGTACCGGAAGATAAGGACGAAATGGATGAAGAAACTCAAGGGGTATGTTTGATTTTACTAACTAGTTGTTAGTACATATGCACATATATTAACATTACGTTACCATCGTCTTTTAAATTTTAGATTTTAGCAACAGACTTTGAAATAGGTCATTTCCTGAGGGCTAGAATCATTCCTAAAGCTATACTTTATTACACCGGAGATATTATTGATGATGAAGATGATGATGATGGGGAATACGATGATGATGGTGAAGATGATGAGGAAGATGAGTCTGATGACGAAACGGTTGAGAAAGAAAAACGCATTAAATCAATAGATGATTGTAAAAATCAATAAGAGATGTTGACAACTACTTGCATTAAATCATTAAAATTCGAAATTAATTTTTTGTAAGAATTTTGTAAATGAAGCTCTAAGCGCAATTATTATTAACAATTGAACTTTGAAACTTCTTTTTTGGATTTTGAATGGGGGGACACGTTTGGCGATAACGCTCATAATGCTTAATACCGTGGGTCTTTAAAAATTAGTTTATTTCTTAAAGGGATTCAAAATATGGTAGTGATAGGTTTAATTTTTTACCGGTGGTTTATAGAAATCAAAAAGTCGCCGATTCAACTAACAAAAAATATGCTTTCAAACACATTTCACATCAATAATTGTATTTGCAAAATTTATCATTTACTGAAGTTTTTTTTTACAAATAAAGGCTGTCTTCGGTAAACGCATTAACTCAGTCGATCTCTTTATTTCTAAACTACTGGAGGTAACCGAGGCAATTTGGGACACTATTGAAAATAGGTATTTCTTTGGCTTCTTTATTGGCGCTGTAACCGCCTAAGCGATTTTGACCGAGTCTAAAACAGCCCGCCAGTCATTTCTCTTTTGTGCCAACTGACGCGAAGTTCGCCTGGTCTTTCCAACGCAGAGGAGTCCTTCCTCTCCCTCTGTTACCAACATCGCGGCCCGCGTTGAATACTTTCAGAACACAAGCGTTTCTGGCCATTCGAACGACATGGCCAAGCCAGCGAAGCCGCTGAATTTTAACTCCCTGCACTATGTCTATATCGTTGTAATTTCTATGGCTTAGTGAACATACCGTATCGGTCATATCTACTTGTATAGCACGCCATTTCAAAGTGATATTGTGTGCCACTTATGTTTATTTATTTATTTTTAAGAATTTTCAATTAAAATTTTGTTCATTCTCGGACAAACCCCATATATACCCAAGTTCAACAATTTGTAGAAAACTACAAAAAAGTGTAACAAATTTTCACCTAAATTTCAAACTTTTTTCTCAGTAGTGATAGAATTTTTTTGAGGACACAGTTTTTTAGCCCCTGCAATTTTAGTCTGATAATGTGCAAATTTCAAGTGGCTACGAATTACCGTTAATTTTTGAGAATTTTTGTTGTCGCATTGGCTTCCATATATTGAATAAACTCAATTTATTCGTATATGGAAGAAAACCGCAACATCCTTGGCGAAAAAAATTCTAAAAAATCAGCGGTAACTTTTAGCCACTTGAAACTTGCACATTATCAGACTAATATTGATTGGGCTATAAAACTGTGTATTCAGAAATATTCAAACACTTCCGAGATAAAATGTTGAGATTTTATTTCATTTCATTTGGGTTTTGTTAGATAAAGAACTGTATTTTAATTGAAGTTTCTTAAAAATAAATAAATAAACATAAGTGGCACACAACATCACTTTGAAATGGCGTGCTATAGATATGACCGATACTGTATATGTACATAAGCCATAATTTAGAAATGCTGTGCGTCAATTTGCTTACGATGGAAGCCAAAATATACCCAAATATATGATGTTGCTCGGACCAGGGATCAAACCCAGATCTAGCGGATCATAGCACTTAGGCCCAGCCGCAATGGAAATAAGAAATAATAAATTACAACTCAACATTACAAATTACAATTTATTGTAATTTCCATTTTGACAAAATACATATGGTTAATTACTGATATGTCCCTGTCAGATCCTTATTGTAAGCTTTAATGTATGCCTCATGCAATTTTTGAACGAAGTCCTTGTCATTTTGAATGAGAAAACTAAAGGCTTGGATTAACTGAGATTGATTAAGTGGTTCCTTCTTAGGCGAGCTTCTGTTTACATCCGTTGGTTTATCAAACATGGTTGGTAGCAGTAAAGTCGGTTTAACCTGCTTTGGTGATTCTTTAACAAGAAGTTGTCTGAGACGTTCTTCTTCCGTAACTACCAATGGGGCACATGAGCTATGTAATTTTCCAGTTGATTGCATTAGCGTCGTAGACTCCTTGGATACACTTTCCATTCCAGAAGGATACGCCATATTCACTGTTGTTGCTTGGTTATTCAATGTAGCTTCTGATTTGATTTCGAATTTGCAGTTATCAGTTGATAGCGTTTCTCCTCTGGGCGTTTTAGCGCGTTGCTGTTTTTCCAGTTGCTCAACTGATAGAGTGTTTGGTATAACGTGTTGCATAAAAGGCACTTCTATTGAACGTGGCTTTGCGGCAGCAAAGAATTGTAACACATTACATGAAGCCATTTTCTGTTGCGTATTATATTCTTGTTGAGCTTTTGATAACATTTTGAATATATTAACGTTTTCTTGTTTATTTTGCGACTTTACATCGCCCTCGCTAAAGACCGCTCTTGAGTCTACTTTTTGCACCAAACTACCAACTATAGTGCCGATTCGGTCACATTCTTCACTATTGTAAAACCAAAATCCTCTAATCCGTGAACGCTCATTACGATACAACAAAAATGGTGGTTGCGATTGAAGTTCAAGTTGACTTGTTATAGGCTCTACAAAGGATGTTGTGTTAATACGATTATTTATAAAAATACTGTGAAAGGGCTGTGCATTCCGACTGTATATAAAAAATGCACCCTCAACGTCCGTCTTCTCCCACTCGTTATGCTCCGCATTAAACGTGTAAAAGGCAACATGCGACGAAGAATCAACAATATCTTTGGCGTATGGGTCCACTTTCTTGATAGCCGCTAAATTCATACGTGCCTTGCTATTTTCATCCAGACTCATCGTTAATATATTTTAATAACACGTAAATACAATTTATTACAAATTTTTCATCAACAATAATAGCTCAATATATCTGGTAAAAAACTGTGGTGAAAGTCCTCCGTGCGGATAATCTTTTCTGAGGTGTATTTTTATTTGTAGCTCACCATTTCGTGCACGCATGGTTGCTCTTAATCCAAACTTTAGAATTTATTTTAAAAAAGTTTTGTATAGTGCATCTATTATATGAATAAACACAAATAAATCTATTTACTTTAAATAATAAATATCCAAAATATTGAGAAAAACCCTCATCGCACGCTTTTTTACACCAAGGTACTCTAGTGTACTCAAAGAACAAACTTTTTTAGATTTTCGCTGCGATTGTACTGATTGTCAAAATTATGTGTTTGTTAGGTCGGTGTTATGCAGAAATTTTGTTTGGCAAACTGCGTGCAATTGTTGTTGCAGCAAACTCGGAGAGAGCGAGTTTGGCGACTCTCACAGCAAACTAATTTTGTTTGGTCAAACTGCAGCAAATTCGGCGTTGTCATATACAAAAATTTTAGACAATTGTTGCTATACACAATATTCTCATTTCGTGTTGGCAATAGCCATCAAAACCATAATGAACGTGCAACCCTGTGCCAAACTCGACATAACCACTTCCGAGCAAACTAAGCAGCCGCCATTTAATTTGGCAAACAAAATTTTTCTGCATAACACCGACCTTAAAAATTGTTGAAATATGAATTCGCCTTGTTTACAGTAACATCATTGTTTACATCATTTTGACAATAGGATAATAGCAAGGTGGCAACAGCACACCCATCAAAATCTAAAACAAAATACATGTAAACTTTGGAGCGAATTTAGATTTGACATAACACCCGCAATACAAAATACATATGGTTGTCGTTGTTGTAATCTAAATTCGCCAATAACACCACCTTGTATAAATTCGCCTTGTTCATTNATAATAGCAAGGTGGCAACAGCACACCCATCAAAATCTAAAACAAAATACATGTAAACTTTGGAGCGAATTTAGATTTGACATAACACCCGCAATACAAAATACATATGGTTGTCGTTGTTGTAATCTAAATTCGTCAATAACACCACCTTGTATAAATTCGCCTTGTTCATTAACCATACCAAGGCGAATTTATATAAGGTGGTGTTGTATCATCAGCTGTGAGTAGCATTTGATTGTCAAATTTTTGTATTTCGCTAGTGAGTGAGTGAAAACGTGAGAGTGTTTGTATTTTCTGTCGCCCTTTTTCATTCGGGGAAGAATAGCTGAAATTTGACAATGGCCCACTAAAAGCAAAACAAAATACAAGTAATTGTTGTATTTGTTGAATCGATACCACCTTATATGTATTCGCCTTGAACCATACAAAGGATAATTAAGTGACAGTTCATTCCGTTCTGATGCTTCCTTCATATAACCCAAGGCGAATTTATACAAGGCGGTGGTGTTAGATCAGCTGATTTCTTCGGCATACATGTACACAAGGCGAATTTATACAAGGTGGTGTTGTAAAATCAGCTGATTTCTTCGCCTTACATGTATTTTGTTTTTGCTTTTGCTGATTTGACAGCACACCCATCAAAAGCAAAAACAAAATACATGTAAACTTTGGAGCGAATTGAGATTTGACATAACACCCGCAATACAAAATACACGTGGTTGTCGTTATTGTAATCTAAGTCGCCAGTAACACCACCTTGTATAAATTCGCCTTGCATGTACATATTTTGTTTGTGCTTTTACTGATTTGACAAAACAAAATATGCGCGTTCCTTATCTCCCAGAAATAGTCAGAAAAAGTCCGAAGTAGTCAGATTTTGTCCAAAAAGCGTTCCTTATGCTTGAAATACAATACCGGCGAACGGCAAACTTCGCCGAATTGGGCGATGCTGTCGTTCACCGTTCGCCCAGCTATTTCGCCTACTTAAACAGAATTAGAGCGGTAGCGANCAGCAACATGCGATCAGCTGTTTTTCGTACTGGCAAATTCTTACAAGTAAAAATTTATCCAGTAAAATCCAGTAAAAACTTGCAACTTCAGCTGTCATTTTTCGCTCTCTCAATTTCCCCTACTTTGCAAGTTTTTGCGTACGAAAACGCCAAAACATGAAAATTCGTAAAAACTTTTACTGGATTTTACTGGAAATGAGTAAAAAAACGCAACTATTTAGTCAGAAGAATTTTTTCTGGCAAAATCCTGAAAAGTGTCAAACTCGACTGAATTTAAATTAACGGAAATTAAAGAATACGCAAAAAGTGAGAATAATCTAAAAAGTAAAAAAAGTGAATTGAAATTGGAAGGAGGCAAAAAATAATTGACATAGAAAGTGTTTATTGTGCTTGTGCTTGTGTGAAGGTGTTTTGTACATACATTTACAT